GATCATAACTCATGAACCTCTAAACCGATTTGCCTCAAATTTAGAAGGAAACTCGGCAGAAGCATGGGAATATTTTTAGTTGGAATGGATTAAAAATCATGAGGGGGAACAGGTTCCCAGAAAAGCTTCTTCTTTAATTTTTTCCCTTACACATGTAAAAATTAAGTAATATTCAGTCGTAATACAGTGTGAACTAGAAAACTGTAGAATAGGAAGACGACATTACACAAGAATCAAGTGCATGTAGTTTACTATAACATCAAATATTAAATCACTAAATTAAGTAAAATTGACCTGTTTACACTGCACAATTTCTATGTTTAATGTTCATTAGACTATTTAAAGTCATAACTTGAGTCTAAAAGTCGTTTTCCTATTCCAGGATTTTCTGGTTCTCACTGTATCATAATATGTAAGAATATATAAAATATTTGAAATAATATACGTCGGTCCGGTGCATCAACATTGTGAATCCAACCAATTTAAACTACTATTTCGAATAATAACCAATTCAATTTATGACTTCTTCAAACCCATGAAAACAATTGTGATATTTTTAAACAAATTTTAGAAAAATTTTGTACATTGTAATTAAAATTCGATACATTTGAATCTTGCTAAACATCCCTTCATTTTGAAGCCAATATAGGCTCGAATGATCGGCAAAAATTAAATTCTACTGGGAGGGTTTAAAATCTGTTTTCATTCTAAAAATTCAAAGGTTCAAAGGGTGTAGAGAGGGGGTGATAGAGAGAGGGGATAGAGAGGGGTTGGACAGTAGAGAGGGGGTAGACATTTTCACCTATGTCTACATTCTACATCATATCTACGCTGTAATATATACATCGTATGTACGACAAATCCAGGTGGGTTACATTTAGTATACCGCCAGGACCTACATTGGACAATAGACATGATGATCGTAGCTCCGCTCAACTCTAGCGAAGCAAGGCGCGCAACTAGGGGGGGAAGGCCCCCCTAGCCTGATTAAGGGGGGCATGCCCCTACCTTAAGAAGGCTTGTCCCCCCCCCCAGTAGGGGGGGGGGCAAAAAGTCCACCCTGTTTTGCAATTTAGCGATTCATGAATTCCTGGGAAAGGGAAATGAAAATTGTAAATTAATCAATATTGTGATTAACCAGAATAGATTTCTTTTTATTTCATATCAGATGTTTCGACTTACTGAATATCCGGTTGGTAAGGTTAGTTTATTTATTGTTTGAGTATATTAGACATTTTTCTTGCCCCCTCCCCCCCTAAAAATGTTTGGGGGGAGGGGGGCAAATTTTTTTCCATCTTGGCCCTCACTAACAAAATATCTAGTTGCATGCCTGGCCGAGGCCTGTCGTATATACGAGGCGGTATAGCCGCAATCGTTTTTTTTACTAGCTGGGTTATAAGAATTCTGGACTGATAATCGCGCATTTTTCATTTCCATATTGGTGGATTAATTGCTATTTAACAAGCTGTAAAAAAAAGTCTCAATTCACACATTAAGAAAGGTGAAAGGTGAGAAAGAAAGCCTTTTATTTGATAGAATTTGAATGCCGGGAATGATAGGGAAATTGATATCAAACCCAACTAAAACCTGTAATTTGATATATCATGAATAGTCATGTACATTAGAGGGAGGGGGTTAAAATAACTTGACGCGAGCAAATTGTTAAGATTTACTTCACTGCTACCCCCCCCCCCTGGAAAATCCTTAGCTACGCTCCTGCTTTTCATGCACCAAGATTTAATTTAAACAACACAAAAATTAAATATTATATTGTCTGCTCCATAGAAAACCGCGGCAAGTGCGCAATGCTATCCAGCTTAGACAGCTGCGTATGGTTTCTTTACAGACCCGGCTTTAGTTTTATAAGGACCCCAGCTGCACGCAACTTCAGAAAATATAAATAAATCCTCTAAAAATCTAAATTTAGTTCATTTAGATATCGCAAAATTAAAGATAGTTTATAATGACTAGGTGCATGCTAGCTTTTAAAGTTTTCAATATGTCGTTTTATGTAATTTTGTGTCAGCTGTTTGTGTGATCGTACTGTATAACCTTGAAGCGTATATTGAGTGGTGAAAGTTTAAAAAGCGTCAGTCAGTGTGGATTGTATTCAAGACAACAAGTTAACAACTATTGTAGACGAAGTGACAATGAAACCATTGAAAAAGTGGACTTTCTGAACTTTCTAAATTGTCTTTTACCTTTTTTTCAACTTTTATGACTTGAAAATTGAAATTTTGTAAATTCAATCCAAATAATTTTGCCATTACGTAAAGCAGTAATCAGCTACGAATTAAATTGTGTTACCTTCAAACTTCAAAAATCAATTTTAAATTTTTACAGAATTTTAAAAAGATAAGAAATTTTAGAATATAATCAGTAGTATTATAGTATGAAATAACCTGTTTTTCATTTGACATTTTATAATAGTTATTTAATAACCTGTCATTTTACATTTTCTATGCATTCATTTTTATTTTTTTTATTTTTATCACCTTTTGCTTCTGCGTTCTTGCACTTACTTTTCAATTCTCTCTAATTTTTTTCACCATACATTGTTCAATGTTGATTGCTGATCTATTAATGAAATTCATCTGCACATTTTTTTCACCATTTAAACCATTTTTGTTTCCCTCTTTTTCATCACAATACGATATATCTTTAATTATTATTTATTCCTTACTAGCTGAAGGGCCCTGCATTGACCGTGGAAAAAAAGTAGAAAAATATCTGGGAAATAAAATTGGAAAAAAAGAAAAATTGAAGAAAATTTTTTTGTTAGCCTGTAACACCCCCCGGCCACCCATGAGTGTCCACAAAAATTTCAGCCCAATCGGTCCAGCCTTTTTGCCGTCTATAGGCAACATATATTTACTAATGTCTTGTTTTATTAAATTGACTTTTTTGCATTTCCATTAACTTGATATTTTAATACCTTTTCTCTAACTTATCATTTAATTTCATATTTTTTCTCTTAATTTTGTTAATCCTGATGTTTAAATTAACATATGTAATCCCTGTGTTCTGTGTAATATGATGCCAGAAGTATAATTTCTGTATATTTCTTTGTGCTTTAGTTCAGTTCTGTTAATTTAGTTTTATATCTTTCAGTTGGTTATTCATTTCCAACTTGAGAACAGTGGGCATTAATCCCAATTGCGTTTATTGCCCCAAACCGACACTGAGTGTCAGGTTTAGGGCTATTAAACCCCTTGGAGTAGGGCGCGCGTCAGATTTTATATGATTTGATTTGAGTTAGTAAAAGTGAAATTGTGTGTCCATATAAAACTATTTAATTATAAATAATAATATTTTAAAGTTTTCCAATGTTTAATTAACATTTATTTAAATTAAACGTTTTCCAAAAAAAATTACATCCATAACGCACAAAATAATTTTTATTTTATATTGATTTTTCAAAATTCCAATAAAATGTAAGCATAAAAAAGTAACAAAAAAGTTGTTATAAAAATTCCAGAATGTACGATCTAAGTAAATGCAGAATTTTTTTAAAAATATATATATTTTTCAAAAATCTTCATATTTTTATGGGACTTCCCTTATGTTGGCATTAATGTCCAGTTTTCCCGATATTTTATTGACAAATTATAATGTATATACTTTGTGACAGTAGAAAAGAATGTAGAAAGGAGGTNGTTATTTCTATTAACATTTTTACTACTATCATAATTAGTATTGTTATCATTATTTTTGATATTATTCATTTAAAATTAAAATATGTTCTTTGAATTAAAGAAAAAATAGCCTTTTTCGCGCATTTTTAAAATTTCAAAAAAATCAAAATCTTTTGAATACAACTTTTTGTAATTCTAAGCATCATTAACCTTCCCTGGGGTAATTCGAGGTTCCACACAAAATTTGGGCCCGATCGGTTTAGCCTTTTTGACGTTTATTTGATACAAACAGACAGACAGACAAGCAAAGTATATATATAGAAGAAGAAAACATTTAAAAGATTTAGTTTCTGTTCAAACTTTTGTGTAATGGTAGAAGGCTTCCTGTTTCATTATATTTTACCACTCACCTCGGACTAACCTGAGTGAGAAGCATTCGGTTTCTTTTATTTGAAATCAAACGTGTTTTGGTCTTTAATTCAACAAACTTTAAACTTACGATTTTGTTTATTCTATACTTTTTTATTCATGACGTATATGCCGACAAAAAAGTGTTTAAGAAAAAAGACTTAAAAATTATTTTTAACGGGTCAAATTGTGATCGAAAGTCAAAGCTTTCAAAAACATTGACAGAACCGTTAAATCCACGTGCTCTGTATGCCAATTTTTAGGGAAAAATTAAGAAGTTTTTGAGGTGAAAAATTCGCCAAAAAAAAATTCACTTCCCCCCTTAAATAAAAAGTAAAACCTTATTTTGATTAAAACTTAGAAACAATATTGAATTTGTGGATGTAAGAAGCATGCAACTGTTAGGAAAATAATTAGATGTTCAGGAAATGGAAAATTATGTCTTTTGTAGAAACTTAAAGGTGAACCAGTTTGAAAAATAATTCATTAATTTTGTGCTTGAAATATGCTTTAGTAGAGTAGAAGTAATGTCAATTGAAAGAGTCAATGGAACAAAATATTTTAGGATTCAAATTCCTTCCTGTTTCTAGTACGAAGAGGGGTTTAAGCCACACAAAGTATTTATTTTTCTGAATTAGCTAACAATGGAATTCATGTGTATTTAGTGAAAAGTGTACACTCTTTAACACTTGTTAAGTTTGGCAGATTAACACTTATTTGTGGAACACTAAACTCAACTATTATAATATATTTATTAAGATTTAAAGTATTAGTCATGGCCTCAAGGCTATTCTGAAAAATTATAACTATTTTAAAAAAGAAATTTTTTTACATTTTACCTATTTTGGCTTTCTCACAAACCTCTTAATTGTTTTCGTGTTTGTAGCCTTATATTTTCTGTACTTCTTAAATCTCTGATTCATGTATTCACACAATTTTTGCTTTCATTGCTTTGAATATCTTAATTCCTTTTTGAAGAAAACTTCTATTTCAGAAAAATGGCAACACTGCGCAGTGCGGCGCGCAGGGATGCCAATGGAAATACAAAGTTTGAGTCAGGTAATTGCGCTTTTTTGTACCAATCAATTTAAAAATTCATGAAGACAACGCTTTCGGAACGCTTTGCAACCCTTTTTCTGGGGATAATTTTGATGCTACCTATCCAATTCTTTATCGATCTAGGAGACAGAAAGAGAGGGAGTTNAGCGATGGTATAGATGGTTTCTATACCAAATCAAAAACACTTTCTGCTCCTTGAGCAAATTACGAATGACCAAATCTTAACCCTTGACATAATGTAATACAAACAATGATATGATTGAATCTACATATTCTTGTTTGCTGAGACTAAGAACCTATGAAGGGGTGGATTTACTCTACAAGAGAAAAATCCTTACAAGGTTACAATATCATAGATAAAAAAATTAGAAGGAAATATCCGTATTAAAATTCCTAAGTGTTCCCTGTTGCTGATCCTGATTGACAGTTCTCCGACACCTGCTCTGTCATCTCTCACATCACTGACTTTCACAATCATCACTATGTGTCTATCTATATATGTTTCCATATTCTGTTCCTTCTCGGATATTTATCACTTCTCCTTATTTGATTCTCATATCTTGGTATCCTGGTTATTTTGCTAGAGTTGTTTGCACACAGGGTCTTCCTCCTACGTTATTCTGAAGAAAGAACTCTTCTCCTCCCATACGGTGAATAATAGACGAGGTTCGGGCTTGGTCTGTTAGCTGAAAACAGTTTTCAAAGATCTAAAAATATATAACATATATCTAATGTTTTCCCCTATTTCTTTCTAGATCTTACAATCCTTCTATGGTTCTAAACTAGCTAGAACATGCTGTGGTCACACTGCATCAATTTAAGCTTTCAAATGTGCTACAGTCATCGCTTGATACAAAGCTAAAAAATTGTACAGATTATTCAAGTTTTAACTGTAAATTTGAAAATAAAACTTCTTATGTAATATCTTTTATATTATTTTACATACATATATTTTAAGTTACCGAATTATATCTTGAATTAGAAGTAGGCGAAGGGGAGAAGAAAGGAGAGAAAGATGAGAAGAAGAATGAAAAGAAAGATAACACAACAATTGTTGTTTTCTTCGGACTACTTATTGATCTTCTAGGTAAGTACTTAGTATACGATCCATCTGATTAATTATTGGATGAATTATGATTCATGTCTAAACCATTTTAGTATTTGAAAACTGAAGGGGTCTAAAATATTAGAGGTATCAATTTAAAGAGCTAGTCCCTGTCCCCTTCATGAGGGAGGAAAAATCTTTTTAAAGCATTGGGGAAAAGAAAAAATTCTTAATATATTATGCAGTTTTTTTATGGGCATTCTCTCAATATTACGCTAAATTTTGTTGGGCTTGACAATGACAACTTGTGACGGGGGCAGTAAAGAGGTGGTCGCTAGAGATTGTATAAAAAGAATTTTGCAGGGAATTACAGGGGGAACATGGTTAAAATTGCATTTTAATATTTTGTTTTAGCGTTTACCCTGATCCTTCCTTTGTTCCCCTCCTTGATTTCACACTACAGGAAGGAGGACTCTAGCGGTCTGTTCAACTACATGGAGATCAAGGTCACATTAATCAATCAATCAATCAATCAGCAGAAAATGGCCAAATTTTCAGAAAATTTTTCTGTAATCTCCTTGTTTTAAAACTCTAAAAGCGTACAAGGAAATCTAAACAAATTCGTTGAAAAAGTAAATAAAATGTTTGTACGCTGCGCAGTGCACATATATGTAAACATGGAAAGGATCGATTTTGAATTTGAATTAAAAAACAAGAAATGGATATTTTAGACCCAGGTTTATGTTTTTTTTCTTTTTTTACCAGTGCAAAGATGGAACAAATAGTTAAAGAAAACCTACTTTTTTTATTTACAAATTAGGCGAGGAACTTTTTACTTTAGATTGAAGGTTTCCGTGGGTTAGTCGGAGCCCCACCTGAGGTTAATACTGTTCTATTTGGTGGATTTCTAGGCTCTATTTTCTCTTTTCTACAGTTTATTGCCAGCCCTGTCATTGGAGGCCTCAGGTGTATATTTATCTTAATTTATCTATATTTTGAGTATTGTATTTGAACAATTAAAAATGTTAAATTATTTGAGATTAGCTGAAATGCCCGGCGTTGGCCGTGAAATAAAAATAATCGAATTTTGAATTAAAAATTAAGTTTTGAATAAAAATTTAGAATTTTTGAAGAAAAAAAATCTATTTTTGAAAAAAAATAAAATGGGCACTTAGGTTCCCTCAAAAAATTCCAGCCAATTTGGTTCAGTTTGGCTATAGCTGACATAAAAATAATATATATAAGCGAGGATATATATATATATATAGATTGATAAAAATCCCTTTTTAGAATTTGTGAATTTAATAAAAGCTTGATCTTTTTAATGACTAATAAACCTAAAAATAATGAGCTAAAAATATTAAATATTTTTAGTGATAGATTTGGACGGAAACCACTTTTACTTCTCTCAACGGCAGGTTAGTTTTTGGTCTTGGTCTTCTTCATAGAGTTGGTCTTGGTCTTCTTCATAGAGTTGGTCTTGGTTTTCGTCATAGAGTTGGTCTCGTTCTTTATCATAGAGTTGGTCTTGTTCTTCGTCATAGAGTAGATCTTGTTCTTTGTCATTGAGTTGGTCTTGTTCTTCGTCATAGAGTTGGTCTTGTTCTTCGTTATATAGTTGGTCTTGTTCTTTGTCACAGAGTTGATCTTGTTCTTTGTCATAGAGTTGGTCTTGTTCTTCGTCCTAGAGTTTGTCTTGCTCTTTGTCATAGAGCTGGACTTGTTCTTCGTCATATAGTTGGTCTTGTTCTTTGTCACAGAGTTGATCTTGTTCTTTGTCATAGAGTTGGTCTTGTCCTTCGTCCTAGAGTTGGTCTTGCTCTTTGTCATAGAGCTGGTCTTGTTCTTCGTCATAGAGTTGGTCTTGGTCTTCGGCATAGAGTAGATTTTTGTTTAAAGCTAGACTGAGTTTGACCTTAATCGACGTGTTGGTTATAAACTTATAGTCTTATGGTTGCCTTTATCTTAGTCATACATTTGGTCTTGGTCTAAGTCTATTTATCTATCTATCTATCTATCTATCTATCTATCTATTTATCTATCTATCTATCTATCTATCTATCCATATATCTATCTATCTATTCTGTTTAGGAATCTCTCTGTCCTACGTTATCTGGGTGTTATCTAATAATTTCGCCCTATTTGTTCTCGCTAGGATAGTTGGAGGGATCTCAAAAGGTAATTTTTTTTATGCTTTCGTTCAAAAAACCTTTTTGACCTTTTTTGCAACATAGATTTAAAAAAAATATGTCTTTAAAACTTAGCTTAAAACAAAGACTAAGACTTTAAAAAATATTACTTGAAAAATTGTTATTTTTATTAAATTATTGCAAAATTGTTATTTTTATTAAATTATTTTATATTTTTATATTTTTATCAAATTATTTTATATTAAATTATTTTATATTTTTCAGGAAATGTTTCCTTGTCCGCTGCAATTGTAACTGACGTATCTACACCTGCCAATAGGAATTTAATAATCTTTAATGATCATTTAGAATCTTTAAAATTTATTATTTCCAGTGGCACGTATACAGGATTTTTTTTCTTCAGAGTGGGTGCTGACATTTTTATTTCAGGGGCCTGAAAATCCCATGGAAGCCATAGGTTTTACGCCTCTTGTATTTCTTAATAACTACGCAGATTTTCGTCAAATCTAACGGAAAAATAACGAAAGAAATCTTGTGACTTATTCTTCAAACACCGCTGAAAAAGACGACATTTAGTTGCTCAACAGGACCAAGGTTTCTTAGGATTCATCGTTAACTAAGTCCTTAGTGAACCTTATTTTAGCCACTTTGGATAAATCCTAAAAATATATGTTTAAAATGCCCAATTTTTTCATTAATTTATCGTTCAACGATAATTAGTTTTCTGCTATATGTCGTCTTTAAAAGAAAATCAAATGTCGTCTTCCCAAATATAAAAATTCTATCACAGATTCCAAATTACGGGTTATTTCTGGAAACTGGCCAAGTAGGCCTCTAGTCTGTCCAAAAATGGTTTGCTTTGTTTTTAGAAATTTCGGATTAAGCCATTTAATTTTTGAAATAAAAGTTGCGGTGAATTATTTTTATTTAATCAATTAAATCCTTGTTTTGGTCAACCTTTCATTAAATGTCGTCTTCAGAGGCAGAGGAATGGCTTTAATAGGAGTGGCGTTTAGCCTAGGTATTTATTTATATGTTATGTCAGTCCAACTTCATTGAATGACGGGTTGTCTTTTATTAATAAAAATAATAATAAAAGTGAATAAAAACGTTATTAACTGTAAAGACATTTTGTTATTTTTATTAAATAATTTATATATTTCAGGTTTTCTGTTCGGACCTATTATTGGAGCCGGGTTTTCATTCTGGAGTAAAGGGAAGGAGGGAGACTGGTAGGTTTCAAAATATAAATACAGGGTGACCCCAAAAAATGGGGATAACGGTTTTTTTCGTTCATTATATCGTTCAAAAAGACATACAAATCAAATTTAGTAAAAAGAATTTAATTTTTGAAGGGGTCCTTATGAGTAGATTTTTGTCGTCTGATCTGCTCATTCATTCATTCGAAAATCAAAGGTGTAACCGTGCTTTATAAAAATTAAAATTAGAGGTTACAGCCATTTTAGCCTTTTGTTTCCTCGAGTGCCTTGATAGAAATAAGAAATCAGTAATTCTTTTTCCATGGCAGGAAATCATATCGCTTTGGGAAATAGTTGATAATGTGAACATGTAATAAATTTAAATGTATTTATTATTATTATTTATTCGTTTATCTATTTTTTCCCGTAATATATTATATATCTACATTTTTATGAAATATTAAGAATTTTTAATTTTTCAAAGTAAACAGAGAGGTTTTTTAACATTTAACATAGTTTAACACTAAAAGGAAGCATTGGAAGACAAAAAAAAATTTAAAAAACTAGACTAAAGCTATTTTCGTGTTTTTTTGAATGATTTAAAGTTAGGCTGAAGCATAATTATCCCTGTTTGTCTGTATCACCCTGTACATATATTAAGATCAAGAGTCTGAAAACCTAATATAAATATGATATTTCTAGGTTTATTTACCCTGCTGTTACTGCTCTAGGACTATCCCTATTGGATATCATTTATATAGCTGTATTTTTCAAGGTAACTAAAACTGAGCCCGAATTTGAAGAATATAAGCCGCGGCTTAAAATTGAGATGCGGCTCAAATATGGTTGTTTCCAATTTAAATTGAATTTAATTCGGCGCTCAATTAAAACCGGTTTTTTTGCGGATTTCAGACGCAGCTCAAATTCATTCAATTCGGACTGTGAAGAGTTGATTCCGTAGCCCCCCCCCCCCATAAAAAAGGACAAAAAAGGTTTCAGAATGAGTAATAGATTAAATCGGAAAGGACTGATTGTGTGAAATGGAATGATGAATCGAATAAAAAAAATCATTTGTCAAGTTAAAAATGGCCATCCGGAATATCAGCTGATTTTGTAAAGTTATTTTTTAAATGTTTCTAGGAATCCTTACCACCACACAAGAGAAACCAGAGTACCAGAGATACACTTCTTCAGGTTACTTTTTACAATTTATCAAAAAATAATCTTTGTAAGAATATTCTTTCTAAGAATAAGTTTGCAACTGCAATTGCCGCAGAAGTCCCATTCTTTGTGAGAAACCCTTAATATTATAAAAAAAAAATTCGTATTTGGGTCTGTAAGATTTACGCACTATTTTACAGAAAAGGGAAACATGAAAGAAAAGTAGTAATGAAATCTAAACATGACTTAAATGATCCGTTTCTTACCTTCTTCCCTTTCACCAATATACACATTTTACAGAAATTCAATTAATTTAAAGGTTCCTAGTATTAAAAGGTTTATTTAAAGGGCAACCCCCTTTTTTAGTTTTTGTCTGCTTTTTGTAAAAAGATTATTTTTTTTTACGGGAGTAGAGACAGACATCTTCTGAAACAATTGCTTCACCCTGACCCTATACTTGAACCTGACCTATACCCTGACCCGAAAATTGAACCTATCTAGACCCTAACCTTGACCTTGACCCTTACATCTAGGCCTGGATGTACCTTGATCCAACTAAACTATTCAATTTCTCCTCCTTGACAAATCTTCCAGACAAGGATAGGCAATCCTTAAAGCAGGTTAGTTTGTTGCTGTACAACAGTTTCAGTGTACACATTGTACATTACACTATGTACATTGTACATGCTGCATACATGTCTTATATTCTGTTGAACATCCGATATACAGTAATACAGTTATACAGTTATACAGTTATACAGTTATACAGTTATACAGTTTTACAGTTATGCAGTTATACAGTTATACAGTTATACAGTTATACAGTTATACAGTTATACAGTTATACAGTTATACAGTTATACAGTTATATACAGTTAAACAGTTATATATGTTATACAGTTATACAGTTATACAGTTATACAGTTATACAGTTATACAGTTATACAGTTATACAGTTATACAGTTATACAGTTATACAGTTATACAGTTATATAAAGTTATATACAGTTATACAGTTATATACAGTTAAACAGTTATATATGTTATACAGTTATACAGTTATACAGTTATACAGTTATATATAGTTAAACAGTTATACAATTATACAGTTATACAGTTATACAGTTATACAGCTGTGTTTTCTTTCGTTATTAAACATTGCTCAGAATAATGGATTAAACGACAATACTTATTATTTTATTTCTTTATCCGTACAAGCTATACGACCTCACTTCATTCTTAAGTTAGCAAATTTATTTCGAGTCTGGGTGGTGGATTGGACATCCCTAACAGACTCTTGATTTGATCTGAATACACCTGGAATAAAAGTCAAAAATATGATTTAATTGGGTTTTTAGTTTTTTGGAAGCCAAGAAAAATGGTATAACCAGTGAATAGTGGTATAAGTGTAATCTTTTATCATAATGTTAACTATTAAATGTCTTGCTATATACTTTTATATTTTTGAAATGTTCCCTGCAAACATTTTCTGAAATAAATCATCTAAAACTTCATGCACTAAAAATTTACAAGTACTTACAGAAATTTCCAGTCATATAATTATAGTGACAAATTAAGGTAATATCTAATATTGTTTAGATTGGTTGGGCCTATTTTCTATATCTTTTCCTGTATTCAGGTAACCAAGTCTATAAATTAGAATCACAAAAAAATCGATTATTAGTCCACTTTATTAATTGAAAACTGAATTTTATTTTATATATATATATATATCTACTATCTAGGAATGGAATTTACTTTGACTTTTCTGACTCATCTTAGATTCAACTTTACTTCAATGCAGCAGGTAAGAATAAAGTATTATGAAAGTCGTCTTCAAACTGTGATTGGTCTAAATGTCGTCTTTTGACTGGATTTTTAATACATTTTCTTTCATGGTTCAGGGTCGAATGTTCCTGTTTATTGGGATCATCATGGCTGTTCTACAAGGCGGAGTTGTGCGCAGAATTAAGCTAGGTGGAGAGAAAAACGCGGCATTGTGGGGTCTTCTACTAATTGTACCGAGGTAAAGGACTAGTTTTTAGCTCCCATTGTTGATGTAAAGGGACTGTACACGTATTTTCAAGATACTCAATTTATAAAGTGGTATCTGTAAAGGGTAAAAGCTTTATCTGATCATGAATGCACAAGATATTCATCATTTTCTTTCAGAGAGTTGATTATTTTCAGTTGTGGTTACTGTATAAAGTGACTTTCTGCATCAGAAACAATGGAAGTAAATTTCAGAATCAGACACTTTTCAAGCTAGGAACGACGATTTCTTCCGCGCGCAGTTTCAATCAGACCTTAGTGTGAATTTGGAATGCCCTTCTTTTAAATGGGTGGACAAGCTTGAAATGACGACAATATTTCCTTTTATGTATAAATATAAATTTTTATTATCTGAAGTTCATTTTTATTAGACCTCTTACAAAATTTAAATTGTTTACTTTTCATAAAAATCTACTATTCTCTAAAACATTAATTTAAGAGGGTGAATATTTCTGAAAATTGATCAATAAATTGATAAAGTTCCACCCAACTAATATTGGGCAGAATATTTTGATCGGTTAAGTTAAGTCGCTCATGGTTTATTGGCTCTTAAAAACTTATGCAGTCTACTATACTTTTAAATTAAACACTTTATAAATTGGCTTGATAACAACATGAACCCTAAAAATTTAAAATTTTGAATGTTTGAAAACCGACCAAGTAAGAACCCCAACAACACTACCTCAATTACAGGGTGTCCCACGAAACATGACAATAGGAAGACGACTTGAAAGTCGTCTTTGTTATTTGAATTTATTTGTGACATTTAGTCTTCTATCTACTTTAACGTGCATGATTCTTGAAACAATTATCACATAATTCTCCTAGCCCTGGCATTTCCAAAAAGTGGTCTGCGTTTTTTGTGCTTTCAATATTACCGGAGATATAAAGAGTTTGGTTCAGATTTCAATTTTGTTAAATAAAAGCAAAATTGTCGAAATCTGAACGAAATTCTTCATATCTCGGGCAATATTGAAAGCACAAAAAAAGCAGACCACATTTTGGAAATGGCAGGACAAGGGAAATTTTGTGATTATTATCTCTATAAATTTACTTCTAAAATTAGATTGACAAATAAACGCAGCAAATTATATCAAAAATCAAGACGACATTCAAGTCGTCCTGCATACTGTCATGTTTCGTGGGACACCCTGTATATTCCGTTTACTCAGACAAACATTAGGCACAGGCCAGACGTTAACATGCAGATGTAATCATGAATAAGTTTAGAAGAAGCAAACATCTCTTCATTTTACAAATTACAAACGTCAATAAATATCCCTAAAACTATTATGCGTCAACTTGTTAATTTATCCATTGACAGGGAATACATAGTCAACCATGGGTCAATCTAATTTATATTACATGATGCCATGGTCAACTCCGTTTCTTTAAAATTAACTTTACAGAAAATAGAAAAGGGTTATCTTTTCATATCACACTATGAGCTTTTCAAAATGAGGTCTAATTTTCCTTAACCATTCAATGACCTGTTTTTTTCCTTAACCGTTTAATGACCTTTTCTCGATTAAAATCTTTTTCATTCTACATTTCATGTTATCTTGATAAAATTGATTTCTTTAATTCACTCAATAATTTACAAAACAAAAATCTCATTTTAGTTTTGCAATTGTGGGAATGGCACAGTCCATTTTTGCGTTGTATTGTGGACTGGGACTTTATGCAGTTTCTACTGCTTTTGTAGTTCCCTGTATAACTACACTTGTTTCGCAGGTTAGATAAACTTACAAGTTTTTTTACATTTTTCATCCAATTTTTTATTCAAAACATTTATATTTAGGTTAAATAAAACTATCATGTTTTTTTAACATAATTCTGCATGGTATATATTATATGTCTTATGGTAACATTTTGACATATCCTACCCTAGAACCTTTGCCTGATCTAAGGATGCATAAGATTGATTTTCATGTGGAAATTGTCAGAATTAAACACTTTTCATGATATAAATACTGCGATGTTTCCCACATGATTGATCAGGTAAAGGTTTTAAGGGTTCCATTGTGAATCGTCGTGCCCCTCTTTTTATGAATAACCTTTTTCAGTACGGAGAACATCATCAGAAAGGAATAATCATGGGAGTATTTAGATCCCTGGGAGCTCTGGGAAGAGCCTTAGGTAATTAAAAAAAAAAAAATTCTTAAATTAGGACTGTTGATAACTTTAAGATTTTTTAGGACCCATTTTCGGATCCTTTCTGTACTGGAGTTTGGGCCCTGAAATATCCTACGCACTTGGAGGCTTTCTTCTTCTTGTTCCTTATCAGATTCTGAAATCCGTCAAATAGAAGAACAGAACATTTTTTTCATCTCAAACAATATTTGTTGAAATTTCGAGAGTAGTTTCTTTCTACAGGGTTTATAGAATTTTTTTAAAATCTCGAGTTGTAAACCGTCCCATTTTAGATGCTCATTGCTTTATTTTAGTTTTAAGTTCGATCAGATCGATTTTGTATACTGTTAAAAACATTTCATTCCCTTTACTCTGACTTAGGACGAGTTTTGTTTTTCGTTTTCGGCCTTACGTAAATTTTGTTTCTAATCATTATAATTTATATAACATTAAAGCTGATATGAAACATTTAAATATTTTAAAAAGTTAGATATAATCTATTTAAAAGCTCAAACACATGTATCTATCACTCGTAACAGTGGCAGTGCTCAAATTAATTAACGGCTATTTCATATCACTCAGAAACTTTTACATGTGGTTTGTTGGACAGGATTATATACCAAGGATGATACTTCTTAACTTCTTCATTCTGAAGATCACAGATTAATTTTTGTCTTTTCTAAATATGTACTAAACTTGGTTGTTAAAGAATACAAACAGTTTAAAGCTACAAGGGACCAATGACCAAGGTTAAAATGCAAAGAAAGTTATTTAAGAGGTGTACGCATCTTTTGTACTGCATCGTACTCTCTCTGGGCGGTAATGTAAACACAGGAGGGTAATGTAACCTCCTTGGGTTCTAAACGAACACCAATGCTTCTATTCTTGTTTATAAATTCCACCCAGAGAGAACTGGTTTCAATATGTCCGCAGAGTATACGCAACTGCAATTAACTTTCCTTGCATTATAACCTTGCCAATGACCATCCATTTAAGAAAAGACTCATCTCATACTTTGGGGGTATCCCTGTACAATGTGCAAACTTTCATCACTTAATTTGGAGAAATAGTTTAGATTATTTTCTGAGTACACGGTGTTTTAATAAACATTGGAATTAAGAGACGAATTGAAATTGGACAGTTTTTAAAATGTGTTTTATCCTTTTAAAACTTTTAAATTGACGAAGATATAAAATAGTAATTATTTAAAATGCTACTAAAATTACGTTTACAAAATAATTCAATGATGGATAAGTGGGCACTTTAATTCTATTGTTATTGGTTAAATGGTTAATCCTAGATGTATGTAAAGATAAATGAAAAGAAATATTGATGTTCAAAATATTATATTTTTTCTTCAAAATATTTGTTTTTCCTCTCACTGTCAAATTTTAAATTTAAGACCTCTGTTAGATTTGTTTGTATTTTTATATTACTCATTTTCTGTCCTTCTGTGATAATGATTATTCCAGTAAGCATTTGATTTGATAATCATTCAATACTTGTAACATTTTGTAATTCTTTTATATAAATAAATCAAGCTTCATTACATAAACATTCCAGCCGGAGCATGCTGGTTGGTTCTAATGGGAAAAGGTTTAAAAATGAATTATAAAATATAGTACGGTGGTAGGCGATTATATCAATATAATGAAGACGAATTTGTTATTTAAATTTTTATTGTTAGCAAGCTTTTTCGAATAACAAGTAATTAAAGAAAACTCTTTTTAATTGAAAGCTTCTCTTTGTTTCCATGTTTTTGGTGCATCCATGCTGTTTAAAGGCTTGATATATATCAAAAGTCGTCTTTTTGTATTGATATAATCGCCTTCCACCGTACATAGTTTAATTAGGTATTTAAATTGTCCCTTAGAAGGTTTTTACGTACCAAAATGTCTTAAAATATTTCGAATAATTTCAGGAGGGCTAAAACACACGTGTGAGCCTCAGCCAGGCTGTTTACGACGATTATTTTGATCGTCTTCTTAGTCTTAGTAATACACGCAAAAATTTTAATGGTCAATTTATTAGATTTTCCGTTCCTGAAAATAATTTTTTATGATGTTCTTTGTTCCTAACTTATTAGATTTTCACAGAGACTTGTGTAGAGTTTCCAGCGGAATGAAAAATTCCGTAATTTTGCGCATTCCTTTCGTAAAAAATGTGCAAATATTGTGCGAATAAAATACTCAAATAACAAGGTAAAATTGATGCAAATTCCTAGAAAAACTGCACACAGGAAAAAGTTAGCAATAGGTTTACAGTGATAACCAGTAAACTCTGGAATATTAAGACGACTTTTATGATTTTAAATAGTCCAATAAGCATAGGACACAGCAATAAAGCAGTGTAAGCAGACCATTTTACTTAATAAGTGATTTCAAAAGAGTCTTGCCAAACCTTATGTTTTGCACCAATATAAATTACACTTAAGTATTGCTATAATGTCGTCTTCCTGTTTTAGAGTTTTCTGTCATTGGATCATTGTAGATCAACCAAAAAATGATCAATAGATATATGTATAATGCAAACTTCTAATAGATATATAATGCAAACTTCTAATAGATATATAATGCAAACTTCTAATAGATATATAATGCAAACTTCTAATAGATATATAATGCAAGCTTTTAATAGATATAATGCAAACTTCTAATAGATATATAATGCAAGCTTCTAATAGATATATATTGCAAACTTCTACTAGATGTATAATGCAAACTTCTAATAAATATGTATTGCAAGCTTCTAATAGATATATAATGCCAACTTCTAATAGATATATAATGCAAACTTCTAGTAGATATATAATGCAAACTTCTAATAGATATATAATGCGCAAACTTCTAATAGATATATAATGCAAACTTCTACTAGATATATAATGCAAACTTCTAATAAATATATAATGCAAACTTCTAATAGTTATATAATGCAAACTTCTAATAGATATATAATGCAAGCTTCTAATAAATATATAATGCAAATTTATATAATAGATGTATAATGCAAACTTCTAATAGATATATAATGCAAACTTCTAACATATATATAAAGTGCAAACTTCTAAGAGATATGTATTTTCANTAAATATATAATGCAAACTTCTAATAAATATATAATGCAAACTTCTAATAAATATATAATGCAAACTTCTAATAAATATATAATGCAAACTTCTAATAAATTTATAATGCAAACTTCTAATAAATATATAATGCAAACTTCTAATAAATATATAATGCAAACTTCTAATAAATATATAATGCAAACTTCTAATAGATATATAATGCAAACTTCTAATAGATATATAATGCAAACTTCTTTTAAATATATATTGCATACTTCTAATACAGGGTGTCCCAAAAAACATGGGAATTCAGTGACGAATTCGATATCGTCTTTTCAAATAATTCTTTGATTTAGTATAGTGATACCTACTGTGAAAGCTGAAATCTGTAAGAGTTTCGTCTGCTATGTTCACATTTTGTTTGTTTATGTTTTGACTCCATACAGTTGTACTTAGTAAAACAAGAAAATTGCAGTATACAAACCGAGTAAACTTGTCCATCTTCATTGTTCATCTTGCGGGACATTATAGACACATCTTTACTGCAGCCATTTGCCGTTTTCATAAAATAAACTCTAGCAGACATAATAATATTATGGCTTTTGAAATTAGGTATTACAATGCTTATTCATAGCAAAGACGATATACGATTCGTCACTGAATTCCCATGTTTTTTGGGACACTCTGTAGATATATAATGCAAGCTTCTAATAGATATATGTTGCAAACTTCTAATAGATATATAATGCAAACTTCTAATGGATGTATAATACAAACTTCTAATCAATATATAATTCAAACCTCTAATGCTGAATGGTAACCATATAAGCAAAGATTTCAAAGTAGTAAAGTTTTTTTTGCGCAATTTATTTGCACCTGCATATCTAGTTTTACGTTTTTTTCGCAACATATTTTTCGTGAAATTCCACATAGTTTGCTTCCGCAAAATTCATTTTCACGCAAAAAGTTTGTTCAATATGGTAGTAAATTTGCTCATTTTTTCGCAAAAGTTACATATAGAAGAAATTACAAATTTTTATTGTTCCGACTTCGAGAAATTATAGGAAACATAATTAATCAAAATGAAATCCTTCTTATAAATAATTTTAATATCAGATTACAAGAAAACCTTGATAGAAGAAAATTTTAGTTACATTATATTCATTTCCTCTTTCTCATCTTCTAGTTCTAGGCTAATATTTATTTTTAGAAAATTCATTTTGATTTTATTCACTTTATGACTCTCGTTAAAATTTTTTAACTGGTCCCTGAATAAAAATAAAAAGTTGATTAGTTTAAGCTAATCTGAATCTGTAATGGAGGAAAATATCGTATTTTATTAAAAACGAAGAGAGGCAACATATTTATACCCAAGTAGTTAAATTGTTGCTAACAAATTCTTAATTCCTAATTACACCTGAAAATAAGACAATTTAAAAATTTGTGCCAACTTTTAGTAATAGTGGGTTAAATAACAAGTTAATGGCAACCAACAGTTCCATCAGTCCTTAGTTGTTGCTAATAAATTCTTAATTCCATAATTAAATTAGAAAATTGATCAAACTAACAATCTTGATACGTAAATTTAACTACTAAGCAGTAGCAAATTTGGAAAAATCCCTCAAATTCAATATCAAAACCAAATTGAACCACGTTACTAAGTAAAGGTCTCATCATTTTCCATACCTAGCTACCATTAATATAAATCCAAGAAACTGCAAACACAGAAATTATCAAATTACCAGAACATATCCTGACAAACTTTCAGCTTTCAAGAAAAAATGTTTTCAAGCAATCTTGATAAGATTTTTACTGTGATTAACTAATCTAAAATAATAATTCAATCAACTAATCTTAATAAAAGTGCCCATTCCTTAAGAAAAAACAATCCAAAGAAATGGCGATGAAGTCTATTTACTAACAAAAATAGCAGTTCAAATCCTCAAAAGTCGACAAGGATTCAATGTTTCTCTTGATATTTCTGTCAACACAACTAATCAAGTAGTTAAACCTCCATTACACATTAAAAACTTTTTTAGTCAGATTTATTAATATACCCTTAACATATATTGGGTTAGTTATTTTCTCTTTTCATCTAAAATTTTCTGGAAAGTGACTTTTCAGATGTACATGCAGTACAGTGACGCAGTAGGAGCCAGAGATAAGAAAAATATAAATTTAAAGTTAAAGGAGAACTTCTAGCCCGTAAAGAGCGATTAATCAATGCTAAGAATCCGGATCCGCGAATCGAAGGGGAAAATTATCAACTGAAGCCTGCAATACACTGTTTTACTCACAACCCAAATCTGAACCGATGAAAAACTGGAAAAAAGAGAAATGTGCGGATCCAAGATCAGGATCCGCATAAAAATAAAACCTATAAATCAGTAGCTTTTAATTTTAGTCATCTACATGAATCATGAAGAACATTTGAGATTGGTGGTCATTTATGAATTCAGAAAATATTAAATAAAACTTTTTTCCTATTTTTCAATTATTCAAGGAAATCAGACATGCATACTTATTATTACGACAACATTGGACAGTAACTTTAACCCATGTCAGTATAAAAAAAAAAATAATATTACCGCCAAACATTTTATTAAATTAAATTAAAATTTCAAATAAAACATAAATTTGCAAAATCCTAGCACGAATTCCTGTACACAATTAGTAAAGAATATGGAAGAAGGATAGATAAAGAAGAGACTGTATTGTACAAAAGATAAGAAAAAAGATGAAGGAAGGATACTCGAAATTCGTACTAGTGAAATAAAAAGACCGGGAATTAACTAAAAATAAAACAACCAATTTACTGAAAACACAAAAAGTTTCATTTAAAAAAATTTCGTCATAAGATTTGAATAACATTGAATTAAAAACCGGCTGAGAATATAAATATATATCCTAGAACCAGACCAGGAACCATACTGGTTTCTGGCCAGTCGTACATAATTTTCATATAGGAACACGTAGGGTTAGAGTCTGCTACTTGGTTCCTTGTCTCGACTCTTGAAGTGTGAAATGAGAGTTTGGTTTTAGTTCAGGTTCAGGTCTAGTTCTTCTAGTGTAGAACATAGAACGTGTACAGTGTACTGCCTGCAGTACTGCACTATCCATATATCTGCAGCTAGAAGATGGAAGGAGGTGATAGGTCAGAAACACCGAAATACCTAGATAAATTTTAAAATAAATAAGAATGTGCTCGACTTATGTTCAGTGTAATTACAGTGCACGATTACACAATTAATAGATTTTACGATTAATGAACAAGTAAACTTACTTGCTAGATCTATATTTCTCTGCAACTGCTTGTTGTGCAGCGGTTTTAGATTTCTCGAAACAACGATGAAGATCAACAAAGCATTCTTGCAAATCCTCAAGCTAACAATAAAGAAAAATTGATAAGAAAGAAGTCAAAGTTCAGTTAATCAAAGATAAAAAATTCACAAGAAATGTAAAAAATTAAATAAGCCGAATATTACCGTAAAACCAGTGCGTTCAGGTAAAGGTTGCGGCCAGGCATCCAAAGATATTGTGTGGCGAGCCAAAGCCACACAAGCAGCAGCAGTCTAAAAATAGTCTTTTTGTAATAAACTGACTTAATCAAGATTATTACCGTCAACTCTATATACAAGAGATTAACCCCTGGACCGATTTGCCTCAAATTTGAAAATGGAAATTGGGAGAACCACGAGAATGTTCTCAGCTTAGTTTAGAGATTCTAAGTTGAGTGGGTGACTTTAAGAAAGAAATAGCTAAAATCGAAATTTATGACCAAGCGCGGGTAAACGGCGGTAGTAATTAAGAGTAACCTGGGCAACGCTGGGTTCCCAAGCAGTAATATAATGAATAATAAGTCTGCTACCTGACTGGGAGGATATTTGAGGAAAGTTTCTCCATCAACTAATGCTAGTTCAGCAAGGAAAGCTGCAAGAGCTCCAACCTTGGCTTTATCCTCCTCCTCGTCCTCCTCAACAGGAACCATCTCAACCATCTTGTTCAGAAACAGAAAGCTCGTGGGAACACTCAAATTAAACCCTAGAACCTTCAGGACAAGATGTTCCATTCTTAAAACCTAAGAGAAAAATATTTATTTCCTTGAACTCAAGACGTTCATATCCATTTGATTCGGCTACATTTAAATTATATCTAATAAAATGAAATACCTGTCTCTTGTTATATGTATCGTCTGTAATATAAACGAACTCGGCAACATCTGGTGGATAAATCTCTTCGTATTTAGCAGCAATAAACATACATGCAGCTCCCACTAGTTGCAGCTTAGTCCGCTGTACAGCCATATAACTCAAAAATCTAAAATAAAAATAGTTTTTTCTTTCGGTCCAAAGAGATTTCTAGTAAATTTGTGACCAAATGTGATGGAATATTAACTTCCAATAATCAAAAGTTAAATGATGTTATGAGACATGACTTCCAACTCACCTATCTATGTAATTAACGGCTAGATGAAGGGTTTCAGTCTGAAGTTTATATTCTTCACCAACCTCAACCAACCAATCAACAAGGATTGACCTACGTATTAAAAAATGATAATACTAATGTAATCTGAAGTTTAAAAGAAAAACAAAACTAAATAATAAAATTGTGAATAAATAAGAATATTTTTTACACCCTTGATACTTTCAAATCATTTATTTCCCCTTACATGAAAAAAAAATAATTTACTAACTCTGAGAAAAACAGAGAATAAAAAGATATTAAAAATTTAATTTTTTTACCTCATACTGTGTGTGATATCGTTCTGTTTCTCCATGTATCTGAATTTAGGCAACTGCTTATATTCACTTTCCTTCAGGTACATGTAAATATCCTAAAAGCAATTTAGAATAAAAATGGAAGGTTAACAAAAAGTGAAAAATTTGGTCGTCAAGTATACGGAGAAATAATCTCTAATAAGAGTTTTGCAGAGACATCTACCGGACAACATATCGTCCCCCATAGTTCGTGAACTACACGACCACTAACTAGAGAACGGGCTCGGTTAAAGGCGAGTATACGCATCATTGTGTAACAGTTGTCTCCGAAAGTAGACAAATTAAAGATCTATACAAAACTAAAATTCTAAGGATTTTCTTAAGTTGTTACTATTGACGCAAAAAACTAAAGTGATTAAGATCCAGTATTCAGTCAAATTTTATATATTAATACCTGGAAGTATTCTGGTTCTGTAAATATATCAACAGTATGATTATCCTTAATGGGAGGTACTCTCCACTGTTCACGGAGCTGAGTTACAGTTTCTTCAACTACCATAGGACTATCAAGATCAACCTGAATGTAAACCTTTAATTCTATGGAACCCAAACATTTTTAATTACTTGTATTTTGAAGTGCCTTTAATAATCGGATCTTGAAAGGACTGTAAGCTTAATTTTCAGTGACACAAGAACGCAAAACCCGATTTATAACTGTACTATTGAAATATCAAGGTTATATCCACAGTTTTAAGCAGATCACGTTTTCAAGGTCACGATTATAAATTGTATATTATTGTCTTTGCATTGAGGGTCACACGAATTATGAGTCCCTACAAGCATATCTTAAGGAACTTACACTTGTGTTCATGGATTCATGTTCTTGGATAAGATGTGCAGCTCTGCTAGGTAAACTGTGAAGCAGCTGTACAGTACGGGTTTGCTGAACCTGTACAACATTCTCAGCTTTACTCTGCTCCCGGAGAACATCAGTCTTAACCTAGAAAAATGACTAAAATATAAGGTCTAAAATCTAAATTAAGAGAGGGGGCGAGTACTTCAGATTTAACCAAGAATCATGTCGATTGTTCCAAAAATTCGATTTACCTTTTGTCTGAGAGATTTCTCCTTGGGGGGAATATTCTCCTTGTCGATGGTTGAAGCCTCAGGTTTACGAAGAAGAGGTTGAGGACGTGAGAATGAAGGAGCATTTTCATCACAGTAAATAGAGAATCCCTAAACAGAAGAAAAAAATAATTAATAAATAAATATTGTAATGGGCATTAAGTGCGAGAAAGTTTTTTGCGAACGTAGCGAGGTGTGAAAATACTTTATATTCAATTTTGATGGAAATTATCACACCTAATATACCCAATTGAAGGGTGATTAAGTGACTGTATCGTCCTACAACAGGGCGAAAAGTTACTTTTACACCCTGCTATTAAAATTTCAAACGTAATTATTCTCATTGTAGGGTGATAAAAGTTACTTAATCATCCTAAAACAGGGTGATTAAGTAACTTCATCGACCTGCTTTTAAATAATTTAGAGTAAAATTGAAAAAAGCTCTATGTTATTGAAATGGTTATCATGCGTGCCAAAAAGTTTATGCTGCGATTTTTAATTTTTATTGTTTGTTTTCGATCAAAATAAACATATTTAAAAATTGCGGTTTAAATCTCGCTAACTTTCCTTTTGGCTTGTACCGGAAAAATTTGGCCTAAATAGGCTTGAGAACTGGACCGGTTTCAGAGCCTGTGCTTTGAAGTGTACCGGCACGGATACGCTTTACTGCCTGGGACAGCTGGCATGTAGGCCGTTGGGATTTAAACTTGAGCAATGAATGGATTGGATTTAAACCCAAGCTGACACACAATTCATTTCACACTTAAAACTACAAGAATAAAACAGTTCCAACAAAATATAAAAACAAAATGTTCAGGCGCTTAAAACGTGCTAAATAGTTGCAAAGACACCAAACACATTGTGGGGATATCTAACAACTTGTAGGGATATATAACAACCAAACAAATCGTAGGGACACCAAACACATTGTAGGGATAACAAACACATTATAGGAACACTAAACAAATCGTAGGGACACCAAACACATTATAGGGACACTTACCACATTATAGGGAACACATTATAGGGACGCCGAAACATTGTAGGCACACGAACACATTATAGGGACAACACATAGGGACACCGAAACATTGTATGCACACCAACACATTGTGGGGACACCAACACATTGTGGGGACACCAACACATTGTGGGGACACCAACACATTGTGGGGACACCAACACATTGTGGGGACACCAACACATTGTGGGGACACCAACACATTGTG